TCCAGAAATGTCTGTTAGTCTGTAACGGCAATGATAAGGTATTAATTATCATCTTTTCCTCATACCTGAAATTCTACTCAAAGAATAACAGTTATTCTTTCAAAAGAGTAGAAGTTTACTCTGATGTTAGTTCCCTGGCCTTTATTGATGATGACAAGACAAGATCCCAAGGAAATCTCTCCTTGGACTCTCTCCCTGGCTGGCTATTGAGGAAGAAACCCTAGCCTATCCCAGAGGCCACATCAAATAGAGGGTTACAGCTCAGAGAGCCCAGGGATGTGTGCACCATCTGAGCATAGCATCCACCACCAGGGGACACCCAGAACCAGCAAGAAACAAAAATGAATAAATTTTCATCTTTCCTACAATGCCTACATTGCCTGCAGCTCTTTGGCCTTGGGTCCTTTAATGCCCAAGGTCATTTGTTTACCTAGCTATGAAATGAGATTCATGTATTGCATTACCCTACCTCTAGATTTTGTTTTGAGGATTTAAAAAAAATCTTTAAAAATTGCTAAGTGCCACGCACATACAAAGCAGTGATATCACTATTATCTTTCATTGAAAAATAAAAAGTATGGTATGTAGAAGAAGCTAGGTATGTAGCTCATTGTAGAGCACTCGCTTAGCATGACAAAGCCCTAGGTTCAATCCCTAGCATTGTGAAAATGGGGAGGTAGAATCTGAAGGATACATTTATGTTAAAAATCCCTTCAGACACTAGGCCAGCACTCCTTCCTTTCATTCAGGAATGGTGAAGGAACGCCATAAGCCCCATCTTATTCACTCCATTTGTTTGACATCATTTTCACATCCTGCATGTGCCTTTTATCAGTCTGTAGCCAGGTTATATAACCTCCATTTCATCATCCTTGAATAGGGTATCTGTTATGCTGAGAAAAAAAGTAGTACTCTCAAGTCTACACAAATCAATTTTTTCAGTGTTATAATCTACTTGAAGTTCCCAAAGAAAACTTTTCTACCTCAATAGAATTCTAAATGACAGTTTTATATGGAGACTATTGAATGCATGAGTCGCCTCTAAAGTGGAATAGGCATTTTTTATAACCAGTTGATGGGTAGACTGCGGCAGAGTAGAAACATGGCACATACCCTGGCTTGGTGTGGTAGAACCAATCAGAATCAGTTTCTCTATAACACGGTTTCAGTAGGGTGGTCCATGAAAGTTTTTATACCAGAATCTTGATTCTGATATGGTAATAGTGAGGTGGTAAGATCATTAAGAGGTAGGGCCACATAAAAGTATTTGGATCATGAAAATACTACCCTCATGGATAGATTGCATCTCTTGGGGGTAAATGAGTTCTCTCAGCCTGGAATGACTGGGCCCACATTGTTTTCTTGAGAAGGAACTGTTGAAAGTCATTCTGCCTCACGTTTGCCTTTTTGCACATTTCATGATGTCTTCCTGCTTTGTCTGCCGTGTAAACCAGCACACGGCCCTCATCAGGAGTTCACAAGATACCTGCACGCACTGCTTTCTAGACTTTTCCAGTCTCTAGAACCATGATCTAAATAAGCTTATTTTCTTTGTACATTACAAGCCTCCCATATTCTTTTATAGCATCACAAAAATGACTAAAATACCTCAGGAGGTCAGGAGGAAGGGCTGAGTAGAAATCAATTAGAGTGTTGGCAAATTCTTAGAAAAATGCTTGATGCAGTGAGACCTCATACATTAGGTATAGCTATTACATAT